AAACATTCTAAGACTTGTGTGGGTTTTTTTTGTTGTTGTTGTTGTGGGTTTTTTGTGTGTGTGTTTTTTTAAGGTGTATGCGTGTGTGTGAATCTATTTTTGAATTAATGTTTCTATTCCTTGAGTTGTACATACGGTTGAGGCCACTGGTTCCTTTAGGTGCAGATAATCAGTATTTTGGAGTTTCAAGAGCTGTTTTTGCTGCAGAACTCCCTGTGCTATTTTATAAAATTGAATATTGTGGAATAGTTTGTAAACCTTGCAAAACAAGTTTGCAATAAATGACATTTTAGTAGCTATTCTCAACAAAGACCTAATTTAAACACTCTTAATAACACCAACACATAATGTAACATAGTCCAAATTTAAGACATTTTTAACGCCTGGTTTCTACTTTTGTAGTTTTCCAGAGCACTATACAATTTCTTCAACTCTGCTGAAAGTAAAATGTCCTCCACATCTTAATTGGATGTACAGGAAAAAAATAAATAAATTAGTGTTTAAACTTCTATCTGACATCAACAAACTTAACTCTGCAGAAGAGAAATTGTAATCATGTTAAGATCTTAAGCAAAAAAAGATGACACAAGAAAACATCTCATCTGAGAAATAGATCTTGAAATATACGTGAGTATGGACTCCTAAGAAGACAGCAAAAAGAAGTACTAGAAAAAACTCATGTGAAACTTCAGAGTCGTTAGTTCAGCTTTTTAATAAAACATCTAATTGCATGAATTGGACTACTGATATGACAGAATTTTTAGAAATAAAAAAAAATATTGAGAAAGACAAAAACATGATTTAGGTAATTACCTTCAGTCTGACTTCAATACTGTAGAATATTTTAGGCAAAATATTGAAGGAAAGCTTATTAAAAGTAGAGTGGGAGATAAGAATAACAACAGTGATTGAAGTGATTACCAGAAGAAAATGGAATACTGGCTAACGAAAGTCCTAACGCTGGATTTATCTGATACACTTCTTTGCTAACTGATTCCTTCTGGACGAAATACACAGTAAACTAAATCTGACTGGATATCAGTAAACAACTGGTACAGCATAGTGCCAAATGTCTTATTAAATACTTCTTTAAATGAAGTGTTAATCTGCAATGAATACAGTATATTTTGAAATTTAAAAATCTCGTGTTCTGCGTCATAAATTCATTCTTAGGAAAAGATCAGTTTTCTAATTAAAGTACTTGCACCCATGATGTATCTTTGCCCTTTATCAACAGCTCTATGAAACTGAGCTGTAGAACTGGGAACCTGTTTTTTCTTATTCATTACAAATTTTCTGAGTTTCAGAAGATTTATCAGATTTATTTACACCCTTATTTAGTCTCAGAAGACAGAAGTGAAATCAGCAACAATATTGGTGATGATCATTGACTGCCATTTTACTTTTTTTATAAGGAAGGTTCCAGATAGATATACTTTCCTCCTCCAAAGTTCCATCCAACAAAAAGAAGATACCTAAGATGTCAACCTACATTCGATGATAAATTTCATTCAAAAATAGTTAAATGAAAAAAATCAAGATTAAAACCAAAACAAAACCAGAAAGTAAAGAAAAAAATAAAGGGAGGTTTAGGGTGAGTTGATAAGGCAATTAGGAATCATGCTGGGGTATGTATTTTGTACACATTCTATTATAATCATTCAAATGATGTTCATTATATATGTTAAGCTACAATACAAAACCCTCTGGTATACCAGTCGGGCAGCAGTGCACCTTCTAGAAAGGAGACAACAGAAGCAAGGCTTTCCTCTCTTAGAACAACACAGTCAAAATGCCGTCTCTGGTCATTTAAACCAGTCCACAATACTCACAGACAGGACTATATTTACCCTGTCTGCTTTTTACCAGTCTGGTTTATACTGTGAGAGATTTAGCTTCCTAAATAGTATTTCTGTGTAAGAAATTTTCATGCTAGTTTTGTACATGTTGTAAAACAACAGCAGTATCTCTGTAGCCAGTCCTCAAAATTGACAGTAATAATTTACTTCAAGGTTTTTTTTATTAAGGTAAGTGAGCTATATTGCTAATTAATTAATTTAAAATTTAAAAAGCCACATTAATTAAAAACAATGACTGCACTGTGTATGCTGCTGTCATCTTCACCATTTGCAAGACATATTTTTACTCGTCAGAATGTCTGAGAGCTTGTTAAGTGAAATGTTCATCATAGTTTCTATTGCTCTTATTACATCTTTTTCTCCTTGTATTGGATGCTGCAGTTAATCCCATGATTTATTGTGTCTGCAGAATTAATGATAATAGTGAATGTGAGAATTAGAAGAATTGGTAGAAAAAGCGTTGCAACACATCTTTCTTGAGCCTATCCTACTTATTCCTTCACCACCTGGTAAAAGAGCAGAACAAACATGTACCTTAAATGCAGAGCAAGTGCAGATTTATTCTTATGTTGACCATCCCATTATCTGGTGTCATGAGCTGGTATGGAAAATGAAGCCATTAGAATAATTTTGAATTCAGCTCTCAAAGTGGCTCTCATAACCACTGTCTATGAGTCTTGAAATAAAAAGGAGCTTGGCTGTAACTCAGTTTGCCTTCCCCTTCCCTGAATCGAGATACAATAGCAAAGATGGAGAAGCTCTACTCAGCAGCATTCAGAGCTCTGTGCAGCAGCCCAGAGCTCAGCTCCACCTTTGCTCCCTGGCTATGCTGTGTTTCAAGGCCATTAATCTTGAAAACAGTGCCAAGCTCCAATATTTTATGAATTGCCGAAACCCTTGCCCCAAATGCATCTTGGGAAAAGTTTACTGTAGAGCAATGTAAAATCTGCAGTGATGAAATATGAAGCCAGTGCACCAGCCTTCTTGCTGAATATTGTGTTCTCACTGTACTGATTACTGAAAGGGATCAAGTGAATCACAGACATGGCAATTACTGATTACAGAGCCACAGCAGAATGCAGCAGAGCAAAAGCAAAATGTAAGCAAAAGGCTGCTATCAATTACAGTCACGGGCTTATGTATGAAGTTGAATGTCAACAAAACCTTTACCCTAATGGTATTTCATCTGTTTTGTAATATTAATAAGTTAAAATGATATTGTAAATCAGTTCTTGTTCCAAAAGAAAGAAACATGTCATAGATTTTCTGAATAAGCATAGAAATAAACTTCTCCATATTATGCTGAATTTTTTCAATTTACATTGCTAGTAATGTCTTCTAGATCATGTGTATTTTTTTTACAGTGGTTAGGTGATGACATACTGTACCTAATGAGAGCTGATCAGTGGACATAGTCTACTTAACTTTCCAAAATGAGGGCTGAAAGGGAACTTGATAACTCAGCAAGTCATTTAAGGTTTTAAAGTGCAATGTGAGCAATAGGAAAAAAAAAAAAAAAGTGCTTACAGACTGTATAAACACTGTCTAGCAAGGAAGTTTTGAAATTCCAGAGGAACAAAGTTGTAAAGAACTTTTCAAAAACCTAAATGAATACAGGGATTTTATTGCTTGTTTCTGTTTTAAAACACACTTATTCACCACAACCAGGTCATATAGGCTCACTTTTAATATTTTTAAGGTGGAAACACTTTCAGTAAGTGTGTGATTGACCTGAAGTGCCACTTGGCGGCACTATTACCGCACATAATACAATAATCAATTAAAAATGCACAAATGCTTTTTGTTTGTTTGTTTGTTTGTTCACTGGGCATTTCCTGTTTGTTCTCTGAGCAACGTCGAAGCTAAACCAACCTTACAAAAATGACTGGAATTTCAACATCTGGCAGAACCAAAATACTCTACCACTGAACTTAAATTGAGTCTGTCCTGATACTGCTAAACTTAGCTGTGAGTGACATCCAGAACTTGAACCCAAATATTTTAGTGCTGCTGATTGGAATAACGGTAAAACACTGCTGAAACTGAAAAACAAGAGAGTTCATCTAAATAACATAACTGAGAAATATTCTCGATACTTTCAAGAGCCTGAGTGAAATATACTGTCTCTAACAAAAGCAGAAGTAATGTTTCATAATTATTCTTTAACTATATTGATGTGAAATTCCAGCAGCACAAAGAAGAACTTATGTCCTTCATGTGATTAGATTATTAATATCCCACGGGAAATGCAGTGATATTTTTAGCCTCTATTGATAGATATTCTTTAACCCCATTGACTCAGCAGGTAATTTTTGCAGAATAATTCAGGAAATAAAATAACCAAAGTGTGTCAGGCCATGATTGGGTTACCTTGACAGAGC